TGCTACCTCATAATTTCTGCTTTGGTCACATTACATCTGTATTATAACTGAATACTCTATCTGTACTGTTTTCTAAGCTTTTTTATTGTTTTCTATTGTATGGGTGTACACATGTTTATGTTATGTTTCCATTTTTACTTTATTTTACTTTATTACTATTCGCACCTTATGTCGAAGCAAATTCCTAGTTTGTGAACCTCGTTCATTGACATGGCAATAATAAACTGATTCTGATTCTGATACATGTTTACATCTAATAGCAAGTTTCTGAGTAGGGTTGCAATTAATACATTTTTATTAATTTCTGCTTCTCGTGAACTCCTGTTTTTGGCTCAAGTCATGTTTGACTTTGCCTGCTCCGTTCTGTGTGTAAAGTTGTGTTTCCTCGTCTAATTAAAATGAAAAAAAAAAAAAAGAATTTTAAATAAATAGAAACACATTACACAAATAACTAAACAAGATTAGCAGTTCCCTAAGTCATATTAACAACAAAGGTGTGTCTGAACCTTGCAGGGATCTGTTAAATACTGCAGTATCTCTGAAGAGCTCTGAAGGGAGGGTAACAAAGATGGAGGGGCTTGTGTAAGAAAACCTTTTGAACTCACTGGACATCTGTTATTGATTACTGTTCCAGCTTTTTTACATAATTGCCCTCATTGCCCCAATAGTGTTTGCTTTCTGACACACAAACAACTGATGGTAGTCTTTGTGAAACTGTAAACAAATGCCTGCACTTGTTTGAATGAAGACATGTGTTGGAGTAGGAATCACAATTGCAACTATTATATTTCTAGGCATGAACATGGCTCAGCAGCACAGCAAGTGTCCCAGGTGGAGTTATGAAACAGGGTCTTTTTGTTTCAGTGGAAATGAAGTAAGACCCCCTCTTTAATGCTCTCCCTGGTGTTAAATCAGGGCACAAGGTCAATTCCAAATAGGCTTGTTTGAGCTTTTTGAAGATAGATCTTGATGAACTAGTTATTCTGTAAACAAATAAATACAAATTAACAAAATTAATTGGTCGTAAAATTAAAAGTGTCTCACAAAATTTTCAGTTAAACCTACGGTACTTATAAAAGACAATGACTTCCTCCTTTGAAACAGTAAACTGTCACGATCCTCGAGGTTGGAACCCAATTGCAGAGAGATGAGTGAGGCAGGAGTTCAAAAAACCAAAACAATTTATTTTTTTTTAACAACAAAACAAAAGGCTGTCGGTGCAGCAAAACTTACTTTTGGCAGATTGGATCAGAAATAATGCAGAGCAGATCATCAGGGGGGCAGAAACCAGACAAGGCAGAAGAGGATTGTGATGTCTGTGAACATAGAACAATCACCGGACAAGGAGTGAAGGAAAGAAAGGCTTTTTATGTGACAGAGGGAGAGTTAGTAATGAGAGCACCTGGGCAAGTGGCTGATGAGGGACAGGTGTGAATGATAAAGACTGAGTGGAGAAGCAGACTGAGGAATGAGAGGAACATAACAGAAACAGATAAACAGAAAATCACACACAAAGCAGAACAATAAAAAATATAAAAAGCAGACAGAGACAGAAACTTGAAATAGAAGGAAATGATTAAGACTGTGGGATGATAGTTTGAAGATATAAATGTTGGTTTCTGGTTGCAGCTTGAAGGAGGTGGCAGAGGCTTGGCAGATGGGGGGGCAGCGGGGGCCGCTGACCGTGACAGTAAACACCTATTAATTTCAGGTAGAAGGCAACAAACCGCGTTCACCAGGGCCGCAGCTTCTCAGGCTTCCAGTGGAAGCTGAGTTTTTCTTAATTTTGAAATTGGCTCCTTAGGTTCTCCTTAGGAGTAACAAGGATGGATAACATTAGGCATGAGGTCATTAGAGGTACAGCACAGGTTGAACAACTGTGAGATAAAGTTCGAGGCCAGACTGAGATGGTTTGGACATGTCCAGAGGAGGGACAGTGGTTTGGACATGTCCAGAGGAGGGACAGTGGGTATATTGGTTAAAGGATGTTAGAAATGCAGCTGCCAGGAAAAAGACACAGAGGAGATACACATGGATACAGTTAGAGAGGACATGGAGGTAGTTGGAGTGAGAATGACAGAGGATGCAGAGGACAGAGAGAGATGGAGGATGACTCACTGTGGAGACCCCTGAAGAGGGAAAAGCTGAAAGAAGAAGGAATAAAAAGAATAAAGTATCTTGATCCATATACTGTATATGTATACCAAGTTTTAAGCTATATAAAAGGATTTTGAGGTCATTTGTATGTTTGTTTTACACAAGTTTTATTTGTTTGCACGTTTTATTTATTTTATCTTCCAGTGTCAACATGGAAGTGGTGTGCCATAAGCAGCAATATAATAATAATTTATGGAATAATATTTAATTGCTATTAAAGAAAAAACAGTAACCATTAGACTGAAGAAGGTTAAAGTTTTTCACAACAAAATCTTTCAATATAAATTCAGTACATTTCAATATAAATTCAGTACATTTCA